CCCTCCCCCCCTCCTGTTTGCACAGCGCTCAGCTGCTGGCCTCCTTCATCTGCAGGGCTTCTGCAAAGCAGACGCCAGGCTTAGCATCTGCAAAACAGCCTAATATTGATTCTCGGCAGACAGGGACCTTCAGAAGAGTAATTAGAGGGCTGGAGCTGCAGCTCTTGGCTCAAATGCATAAGGCCCTGGGTTCTATCCCCAACATAACAAAACCAACAACAACAAACAACCAACCCCTAAAACCCAATGCCATACTGTTAGCACACCTGAACAATGCCAGCACTAAAGTTCATATGGATTTTTTTTCTTTTTCCTCATTGTTTAACTCCTGCCCTGAGTGTGCCCGGGGACCCTACTATGTGGCTGAGGGTCTCGCAGGTGTCTTTCACCCACCATGGTGTCCTCCCTTCTGCCCATGCTCCCTGGGGAGCCACGGGGTCCTGCTGGGGCCTGTGTGTCACACAGCGCCCTCCGAGTCCTGTACATGGCGTGGAGGTGGCAGGTGGCCACATCCAACATTGCTTTCTTCAAAATGACTCAGCAAGCCAACCCCCCCCAGGCACGGCCGGTGACCCCCTGGCCTCAGCCCCCGCGGGCTGGCACTTGGTGACGTCCTGCGGTCTTTCCTGCAGACCTCAACCACAGGGTCCCCTTGGGTCGCCGCAACCCATCGATGCTGCGCATGGTGCTGGAGGCGTTGCAGGCGGGGGAGCAGCGGCGGGGCACGTCAGTGGTGGCCATCAAGGTCTACATCCTGCACAAGTACCCCACGGTGGACGCCACCCGCTTCAAGTACCTGCTGAAGCAGGCCCTGGACACGGGCATGCGCCGTGGGCTCCTCACCAGGCCTGCCAACTCCAAGGCCAAGGGAGCCACGGGCAGCTTTAAAGTAAGTGGGGGGGGGAGGAGGGGGGAGAGGGGGAGGGTCAGGCATGCGGTGTGGGGGGGCACTTGGCTCCACGATTTGGACGTGAGGAGCAGCTTGCTTCACTCCTGGCCTGGGCACCAGCATCTTCCTGGCCTGGCTGCCTCTCCACCCTGTCCCTGTCATTCTGTCTGTCCAGCACTTTCTCCCAAAAGGACAGTACGCGGCCCTGTCCCGGCTCTCGCCCGCCCTGGTGGCGTCTGTCTTTGTGGTGGCGTTGTGTCGTTAGAGTGCCAGGACTGTTTGCTCTTTGGCTCCTGGGCACCCTCAGATGGCGTGCCCCCCCTTCAGTGCCAAACCTGGCCAGGGGCCGCCCCCTCACAGCCCCCCTGCCCCTTCTGGGAAATGGGGTTCAGATCCTGGCCTGACCAGGCTAGAGGCACAGACTGGGGACAAAACTGACTCCCAGCCTCGAGCTGCTGCTCTGCATCCGGGCCTGCCCAGCTCCTGGCAGCTCAGTGGGTGCTGTGGGAAGAGGGGTGCCGTCTGCTCCGCCATGTCGGGCCTGTGGCGTGCGGTCCCGCTGCAGGGCGTCTCCTCTTCACGGCGCTCCTGGGCTCCTGGGTGGGCTGCAATGACAAAGGATGGGGAGAGGGGGAGCGTGGGGGTCGGGGAGGGGGGGAGCGTGGGGGTCGGGGAGGGGGGGAGCGTGGGGGTCGTCTCGGGTCTTGAGGGTGTGGGTGCTCAGAGGACCAGGAGTTCCCAGCTCAACCTGCTTGCCAGGACTCCCTGTGTCTCCTGAACCCCTCTCTGTGACACCCTGACAGATGAGAGGTTGGAGGACGGAGGCTGAGCCCCACAGCTTGGGCCGGAGCTCTGCAGGGCCTGGGGGCGGGTGGAGGAGGGGGAGGGAGGGGAGTCAGGGAGGCCTGGGACTCTAGGGCACAGGGAGGTGGGATGGACAAACGGGGGTGGGAGCCTGACCGTGGGGTGCTTAAGGGAGACCCTCTGACCGCTGCCCTGGCCCAGTCATCTGTACAGGCTTGGAGCCCGCCCCTCAGAACCTGGGGCACTGGGGTGCGGGAGCCCCAGACGCTGAGCTGCTCTCCTTCCTCCCCATGTCCCTGCCTCAGCTGGTCCCCAAGCGCAAGAAGAAGAGCCGGCCCAGGAAGATCGCAGCCCCGACAGCCCCCCAGAAAGCCCAGGAGCCACAGCGGGGCGCCGACAATGCGGGCCGGGGGTCCAAGGCAGCGGAGAAGCGGGGAGCAACCAGGACGGCTCCTCTCAAACCAGGGGTGGCCAAGGAGAAGGCCCCCAAGAGAGGCAGTGAGAGGGGGGTCAGTGGAGCAAAGCTGGGGGAGGCCACCAGGGGGCCCCCAAAATCGGACAAGGCTGTTCGGGTCCCTCCCAGCGCCAACGGGCTCGGTGGAAAGATGAAGGCCACGGGCAGTGGGCGCGGCCAAGGTGTGAAGGGGGCTTGGGGAAATGTTTGGCCTAAAATGGGGAAACAACTCATGGTAGTTGGTGGGTGGGCAAGCAGGGTTGAGGGGCACCAGGGGTCTGGGGCTGCCATCCTGAAAGTCCTGGAAGGCTTCCTGGAGGAAGAGGAGGAGGAGGCCCAGCCTCTGAAGGCAGAGGCGGGCTGGCGGGAAGGGAGAGGCCTGGGAGGAAGCGAGGGCCGTGGTTAGTGTTTTTAGATGCCTCCTGACTGCCATGTGCCAACTAAAGGCCTCAGGCCTGTGGAGGCCCTGTCCGGGTCTGCCCAGCGCCCTGCGTGGAGGAAGCGGACCTCGTGTGCTGTAGTGTGGTGCGATGGGCGGGGTGCGGCAGCTCACCTGGGCCACGTGGTCCTGGGTGGGGGAATGAGGGCTGCCTGCCGTCTAGGCAGGGCTGCGGCCCCAGAGCCTCTGCCTCCTGACGCCTGCCATCTTCCAGGAGCAGCCGAGGCCCACAGGAAGATCAAGGCTGAGGGGGGACTGGTCAGGTTGCCGGCCAGCAAGGTAGGTGTCTGTGCCCTGCCAGGCTGGGGGGGCGGGGGGGCCGGGGGAACGAGGGGGGAGGGGCCGCCCCACCCCCAGCAGGCAGCGCTTCCACCCGTGCCCAGCAGGTTTGGCCTACCCACGCTGGGAGGGAGGGGGCCTCTCCAGAGCCAGAGCCCTGTGCCAGCCCCGCCTCCTCGTCCCCATCTTGCTCTCTCATAGGTCCAGAATGGTACCACTTCTCCCACCAAAAGGAAGGTGACAGCCCGGGTGGAGCCCCAGCGGAAGGGGGCGGGGCCTCCCATGGGGAGCGCGCCCAAGGCCCAGTCCCCGCACAGGGCCAGGAAGACACAGGCCCCTGAGGGCCCCAGGAAGCCCGGGCTGCCCACCAAAGCCGCCTCCTCCAAGGCGTCCAGCAAGAAGGTGGAGGCCAGGAACTAGGGCTTGGCTGGCAAGAGATGGTGTTTCGTGTGATCTTTTATTCCCCAGCAAGCCATCGGTCTATTTAATTGTAACTTATTTATCAATAAAGAGTACCTTTTCTGTTTTCTCGCATGTCAGGATGGGGAGAAGATGAGGTTCAAGGATTTGGCCTTCTGCATGTACGCTCAGCAATCACGGAGTACCTCCTGGTTACCTGCCTCTGCAGGGGACCAGACGGCGCCCTCTTCCTGGAGGAGACGGGTGCATCACGAGTGGACAGTGGGACACGAGGGCCTCGGGAGCCTGGGAGGGGCTGGGCCCGCCCGGGCTGTGGGACTGGGGATCTGGAAGCTGCGCGGATGAGAGGGCGGAGGCCTGGCAGAGGGCGCCGCAGGGCTGCTGCGTTGGGGGGCGTGGGAAAATGGGGTATGGCTCTGCGGGAGCCTGGGGGAGGCCGGAAGGCTTGCCGGGGCAGATGGGGCAGTTGGGATCCAGACAGGGCTGTGGGCAGGGGGGAGCAAACGTGTGGCTGCGGGAAGGGATTGGAGGAGCTGGGCCGAGGGCCAGGCGCTGCTGCAGCCCGCAACCCCACGGTCAGGACGGCCAGCCCGGGAGACGAGGCCTGAGGGCTGCGCGGTTCCCTTGAGAAGGGCCCGTGCCACCCGTCCTGTCTGGGCTCCGCCACTCCCTGCCCGAGCACAGTGGCAGTGCCTCCGGACAGTGTTTTAGACCGGCAGCTAGTGTGTGTGTGTGATTTTTTTTTTTTTTCCCCAGTCGTAGAGCTTGAACTCGGCCTGGGTGCTTGTCTTTGGTCTTCGTTTGCTCAAGGCTGGCACTCTACCACTTGAGCCGCAGTGCCACGCCCAGCTTTTTTCTGTGATCAGTTGGGGGTGAGAATCCCATGGACGTTCCTTCCACAGGCTTGCATTGAGCTGCCACCCTCAGATCTCAGCCTCCTGAGTGGCTAGGGTTACAGGCCTGAGCCACAGGTGCCCACGTTGTTTCCTGTGTTTTAGGTCTTTGACATGCAGTCTTGGAATTGGGCACATGCTGTGGGGAGCCAGGCGCCTCGTCCACGCCAGCGTGTCACGTGGATCTCCGGTTCCGCGCTGCCCGGGGCGGGGGAGGGGACAGGTGGACCGCCTCGCCCAGCCCTGTCCTGATGCAGACCCAGATGCAGAGTGAGTGCTGGCTGTGCTGGGCCTCCGGTGGCGGGCCTGTGACGCGGGGAGCCGGAGGGGGCCTGCAGGGGGCAAGGGCTGCCATCCAAGGGCTCTGGAAGGCTAGGCCCGCCTGTCACCTCCTTTGTTGTGAGGAACCGTCAGAGGAGAGTTTGTTTGGGCTTGCCTGCCCAGCCAGGGGCTCCAGCTGTGGCCCGGAGTGGGAGGGGCTTGTGGAGGCGGGGCCGCACAGGGTGGGGTCTGAGTGACCTCAGACAAAGGCGGAGCTTATGGAGAAAGGAGCAAGCCCTACTAGAGGAGATGGAGGCTGCCCAGTGTGGGCATCCGATCTATCTTCCTGAAGTTGCTCGGCCCCTCCCTGCCTTGTCACCCCCCCTCTCCTAGAACCCCACGAGGGCTTGTCTGGCGCTGCCGGGGCCTCCCTGGGGTGGCTAAGTGTGGTTGCCAGCCATCCCCGCGGGGCACGGGGAGCAGGTGGCAGCTAGTGCTTCCTGGGCTTCTTCGTAGCCTGGCCTGGGGCTGGGGCTGCTCCACCGGGCATGGCCGCCTGGAGCTGGGGACTGGCCGCGCCTGCCCAGTTAGGGAGGAAAGTTCTAGCATCCTTGTGGGCCCTCGGGCAAGTGCCCCATGGCTGCCGCAGCAGCCTCCCCTCTCCCCTCGGAAGCTCCACTTCTTCGGGAGACTGCTGGGGTCCACACCTCCCGGGGTCCCCCCCTCCCCCTCCCCTAGGAGACTCTGCTGGGGTCCACACCTCCCGGGGTCCCCCTTCCCCCTTCCCTCCCCCCTCCCCCAGTCTGCCGTGTGCAGGCCGGCTTCTAAACTTCAACAGGGAGCCGCATGCTAATCAGGCGGCAAGCCAGGCTGCAGAATATTTAATGACAAAAAGATGTTATTGCCATATTGCCGCATGGGGGAGAAGTGGGGTGTGAAATGGTGTGTGTACCCCGCTCCCACCCCGCCCCCGTCAGCACACGCACACACCTGCTTCGGCCGTGCCTACCACAGCCACTCGGAGCCTGGCACAGCGCTGATTTTCCTCATGCCTCTGTGTGTGTGTGTGTGTGTGTGTGTGTGTGTGTGATTCCTCTGTTTCTGGGAAACGGGCATCCATTCTGGAATCACAGTTCCCCCTCAAAGACCCCGTCAAATATGCTGATAACTGAAATGAGATCTGTTAAGAACATCATTTGAAAGATGAGGACGGGCTCTGGGCCCCAAAGCTATTTTGGAAGTGAAGGAGCATTGGCTGTTTTCTTACTCTAGAACTGCTATCTGTGGAGTTTCGTTTCCTGCTTGAACTTTGGGTTCAAGGTTTGTAGATGGCATGGAGAGCAGGGGCACTCTGTCACCTGTGGCCGTGGGCTGGAGGCGGACTCGCAGTGCGCTGGGACGGGCGGGCCTCAGGCTCAGACCCCCAGGTGGCCTGGGCGGGGTGGGGAAGGGGGTTTTCAAGAGTGGGTGTTTGCAGACCCCAGTCAGATGACCTGTGCAGAGAACCTGTGTGAGGAGTGTGCTGCGGTGCAGAACTCGTGGATATGCAGACCCAGCGGTCACCTGCCACCTCCTGGCCGTGTGGGGCCTGCCTCTGGAGACCGGAGGGGAAGGAAACCTTGTCTGTCTGCTGTGTGCCCTTGGGGACACTGCTTAGCCTTGCTGAGGGGGGCTTGTCACAGATAAGCAGTGGAGGGCATGCGCTTAGTATGCACTTAGCATGTGCAAGGCTCTGGGTTCCAGTCCAGCACCACCCATAGGAAGGGCCCAGCCCCGCAGCAGGCTGACCCCTGGAGGTGGTGGGGACCCCGGGAGGCTGTGGGCGGGCAGCTGTGGCCAGGCCCCTCAAGTACACAGCCATAGTACCTCCTGCAACCTGGCAGAGGACGGCAGGCCTTCGGGAGGTGGTGGGCAGGATTTCCCAAGTCCCAGAACTGGCACCATGTGTGGAGGCCAGCCTCCTGGCCTCCCTTCTGCTGCAAACTGTGTGACAAAGTAGCCACCCCTCCCCCTCCCATCCTTCCCCCTCTCTCTCCCCCCCCCACATCCCACCAGCCATCACAGGACAAAGGCTGGAGCCCACAGTAGGTTTTCCTGGCAGGCTTTTATTATAAAGAAGGTTCCAGAGAGTTCCAGCCCTCCCGTCCAGCTCCCTTGGGTCTGGCCAGGCCTGCAGCAGGGAGCCTGGTGAACCCGTCGGCGTTTTCCGGGCCTGCCATCCGCGGCGCGGTCCTTTCCAGTGTTGCCGGGAGCCCTGGGGCCGGCCGGCTCCTCTGCACAAGCGGCAGCGATTCACAGTTGGCGTGTGGCGTGAGTTTGTTTTTTAATATATAAAAGCTTTTTTTAAAAAAACAAAAAACAAAAAAACAAAACCCCCCAAAGTGGTGCTATCTTTAGAAACATTTCCAGAAAGATCAAGTAGCCTGGCTACAGCGTGGTGCGGCCCAGCCTCCCACCCCTCCCCGGGTACCAGCAGCCCCGCGTCCCCTTTTTCTGCCCCTCCCTGCAGGCAGCAGGCATTGCCGCCTCTGCCAGCGGCCCCCGGAGCCACGCAGACCCATCCCTGCTTGGCACGGTCTGTGGGCAGGTCGCAGAGCATGTTGGTGGACCGAGGCCCCACCAGGATGGGTGAGGTAGCGAGTCTGGACGGTGGCCTCTTCTCCCGTGGCGGAGCCTGGCTCTCGGCTGGGCCAAGCCGCTGAAAAGGGGTAGTGGTGGCTAGGCGGAAGGCCCCGTCCCAGTGCCAGGCCTGAGGTGGGCAGAGGGGCAGCGTGGGTGCGGCCAGCACCTCCTTCGGGCTCAGCGGCCTGCAGCTGAGTTGGCGGGGCCGGGGCGCAGGTCGGGCCTCTCGGTGGTGGCACCGCGCTTCCCTGCACTCAGGCCTCGCTGTAGCATTCGTAGATGTTGTTCTCCATCAGCGCCACCACCTGCTCGAATTTGTGCTGCAGCTGCGTCCTGCGGGCCGTGGGGTTGGCCTCCAGGGCCGCCATGATCTGAGAGGAGGTGGAGGGTCAGCAGGGCTGTGGCCGCTGGGCATGGCCAGCTCCCCCTCCATCTGGGGAGAGGCCAACTAGCCACCGGCTGCCTGTGCCCTCCTGAGCAGCACGCGGGGCAGGGCCGCCTCACCTGGGGGCGATACCTCTTGGCATATTTGTAGATCTCTGCCACGGCCACATTGGTGTTGAACTCGTTCTGGTATTTCTACGGGGGAGGGGGGAGAGAGGAGGGCCGTCAGCCACGCGATCCACGGCCCGGTCCGCTCCTAGCACCCGCAGCTCCCACCAGCAGGGGCAGTGAGGGCACCGGAGGGGGGGTGTGCCCCCAGCTCTGTCCTGTTGAGGCAGCAAGCCAAGCATCCCAGCCTCGCCAGCCCTCTGAGTTGCCCACCCTGGACTCCTCGGCCAGGTGGGCGTTCATCTCCTGCTCGCTGAGGGGCGTCATGTCCTGGATCTGCTTGTAGTAGCGCTGCACGATCTTGCGGTACTCGGGGATCTCCTTGGCATACAGGAGCTTGTTGGTGGGCGAGTCCTGCACAGTGAGAGACACGCTGGCGTCACCTTCCTCCGGCCAGGCAGGTGCCTGGAGGGACGTCCTCCCTCTGGAGCCTGGCCGTGCTCGCCTGGGGCCTCCTCAGGCCCTGCCCCTGCAGCCACCGCGCACCTTGCCCAGCTGCAGGTCAGAGATGGAGCAGGCGTCGATGAAGGCCTGGGCAATGACTGAGAGGCAGGCATCTATGTGGTCCGTCTTCTCGATGTCGAAGACGAACTGGGGGTTTTTCAGGATGTTCACCCAGAAGCGAAGAGGCAGGCTGTGGGGTGGGGGTGGGGGCGACAGGGCCATGTGAGCCGGCAGAGGCGGGCAGGGTACAAGCATCTGGCTCTGCCGTGAGGCCCCACCAAAATGGAGCCTTGGGGGACTGTGGACACACAGGGTGGCGGCTGAGGGCCCAGGCCAAGCTGGCCCACTACAGCCCTCTCCCTCCCTGCTCCCCCTCAGCTCCCCCAGGAGGCCCCAGCCGGGTCTGGTGAGCATTAGAAGCCCCCACCCTGCTGCCCGCAGCCCATGCCCGCCCACAGCTCCTCCCCCCAGCCTCGCACGCAGCAGGCAGTCCAGAGCAGAGAGGCAGGCCTAGGGGTGGCCTGGAGGAGGTGGGACAGTCCCCAGCCCAGAGCCACCCAGACACTGGAGCAAAGGGGTCTCCAGAGCGCCGAGGAGCTTCTGCAACTGCTCAGAAACTGCTCAGAGGTGGTGCTGTGTATGTACGAGGGTGTGTGGCCACGGCTAAACAAGCTAAGGCTCAGGGAGCTAGGAAGTGCATGGACTGCAGACCAGGCGGGGCGGCGTCCAGCCCGGCTCTGTCATTCCCAAGTGTCCACCAAGGAGGCGGAAAGAGAGCAGGGGTTTTAGTTCCCGGTTTTACTGCAGGGGAAACTGAGGCCAAGAGAGGCCTCGGAGCTGGGAGAGGCTGGAGGAGCAGAAGCCAGGCTCTGGCCAGGCCCGAGGCGCCGGGCCCGGCCCTCTGCCCCCCCACCCATCCCAGGCTCTGGCCAGGCCCGAGGCGCCGGGCGCGGCCCCTCTGCGCCCCCACCATCCCACCTGTTGGTCTTCCAGATGTGCAGTGTGTCTGGGTCTGAGATCCCCCTCCTCTCGGCCTGCTCCTCCAGGAAGTCGAAGAAGTACTTCACAGCCAGAGGGGGCTTGTCTTCCCGGATGCTCAGGATGGCCTTGAACAGGTCATCCAGAAACTTCTGCAGCGTGCCCTGTAGAGAGCAGTGGCCAGTGTGGGCCAGGGCTGCTGGGGGGAGGGGGCAAGGGGCAGCGGTGGCCTCTGTGGTGTCAGGGAGACCCCTTGTACTTGGGTCCAAAGCACCCGGGCTAGGGGCTCAGAGCTGGGAATCGCTGGGGCCAGAGTGAGGCTGGGCAGGGGACACCTAGGCTGGGCCCACCTTGGTGGACAGCAGGCGGGTCAGGTAGATCTCCGGGAGCACCTTCTTGCGGTGGCTCTGGCGGTGGGACTTTTTGGGCTCTGCCAGTTCGTCCGTGGGCAGCACCTGGGAGGCCCGACAGGGTCGGAGCTGTGGCCTCGGCAGCCTCCGCGGAGGTCCATCCCGTGCTCGGGGCCCAGCCCTGCCCACGCTTCCCAGTGCACAGGCTGTGGCTCCGGCAGGATTCCATGGGCTCCCTCACCCGGCCTTTCCCAGGGCCTGGGAGCGCTCTCCCGGAGGCCCAGGGCGGCAGAGAGCCAAGGCCACACCCCGAGAGGGGCCAGGTCCCCAGGGCCCAAGGCTGGGCACTCACCAAATGGAAATACTTCTCCGTGTCCAAGTCTTTCACTGCGAGAGGAAAAACACAATAAATAAACAAGAGAGAAGACGGGGGAAGAAGAGAGCTGCAGAGAGAAGGAGACCAAGCACGGCTGAGACAAAGGCTCCGCCACAGACAAGGGAGCGACCAGAAAAGCAGCAGCAGCTACGGCCGTGCAGGAAGAGGCCTCAAGAGGGGCCGGGCCAGCCACCGTCCTCACCCATCCTACCCATGAGCCTTGCCAGCCCAGACCACAGGGGCTGCCGGGGGGCAGCCAAGACCCCACTCTCAACCTCATGAGGGACCTTGAGACCCAAAGAGCCCCCGCCTGCCTGCAGCACAGCTGGCCTGAGAGGGCAGCAGGGGCAGGCCGAGGCCGCCCCGCCCCCTCCCCGCTGCCCGGCAGCTGCTGGGGCTTCTTGGAAGCACATCCCGCCCTCCTCCTCCTCCTCCTCCTCCTCCTCCTCCAGCCGCCCACAGGACAGCTGGGAGAAAGGCGGCCGTGGCTCCTCTGGTGGCCATGGAGGGAGTGAGGGTCTCAGAGCTGGCCTTGGCTCTCCGGGCCCTACCTCTGCCCAGGGTGGTGTCCTCTTGTCCGTGAGGCTCATGGCCAGGGAGGCTCCTTCCGGGATCTGAGGTTGGGAGGGAGGGAGAAGCCAGGGTGAGACGCTGGGGGGGTGGGAGGGGGGAAAGGTGCGGGGTGGGGGGGAGGCGGTGGGGGGGAGACCGGGGGGGGGCGGAGGGTGGCACCTTGTAGTGGGCCAGCGTGTTCAGCTTCTTGCGCCCATCCTCCACAACCGACGTGTCGTCCAGGTCCCTCAGGATGTAGCTCTGAGTGCTGGAGGCAAACCACTCTAGGGGAGGGGGGGGCAGTCAGGACAGGGGGCCTCTCCCTGTGGGGTCTGCAGTGGGGGGCAGCGGGGCTGTCAGTGGCACAATCACCAGTCTCTACCCACCAACCCTGGGGATAAATGAAAACCTGAGCACCCAGCGCTGGGGAGCGAAGCCTGGGCCCTTGTGGCTCCAGGGTGAAGAGTTCAAGACTCCCGCCCTCCTTCCGCCCCATCCCTCCTTCCGCCCCATCCCTCCTGCCCTCACAGCAGGCCCTGTCTCCCGTGGCCCAGGGCCCTCCCACACGCCATGCCCGCCCGCCCTGCCTACCGAGGTCCACATCCTCCGCCCGGGGCCACTGGGAGTAGGGCACGTTCTTGCAGAAGGCCTCCAGGATCTTCTCCTTCACCTGCGTCAGCGTGTCCGTGTCCATGGCCCGCACGCTCAGCGAGTCCATGCCACAGCCCTGGAAGGACACGTTCAGGTTCTGCACGAGAGAGGGCAGAGGGGAGTCAGCGGGTGCCACCACCCCGCCCCTCCAGCTTGGTGACCAGGCTGGTGGCTTGGTCTAGATCGGAGGCCAGGACCGCTGGACAGCAACACCCTCTGGCCGCCCGGGGAATGGCCCGCCCCTCACGGACCCATTCCCCCAAAGGGTTTCGACCCCGCCCACTGCCAGGCCTTGGCCTCCGGTGGTCCTGCCGCTCCCGGGGAGGGGCGGGCAGAGGTGCTGCTGCTCACCCGGGGCTTGGCCTCTATGTTCTCCCGCAGCAGCCACTCCTCGTTGAGCGTGTAGCGGGCCTTGCCGGTGATGGCGTCGATGGAGCCCTTGTTGATCTGCTGCTTGATGGCGCACAGCAGCAGGAAGAAGGGCTCTCCCACCGTCTCCTGTGAGGACTGGCAGTGAGGCCAAGGCCACCCTTCACCCCCAGGCCACCCGGCAGCTTTCCACTGAGTCGGGGTCACACAGCAGAGGCTGCGAGCGACCCGCACCGCAGGTAACGCCAACCCTGCACGCTGGTTCCCGCTCCCTCCTCTGCATTTCACCAACCACACCCAGAGTGGCCCACAGCCTTGACCAACTTCCAGGTGACCACTGCACTGCCAGTGACCCCCCGTGGGTCCATTTATGTCAGGCGGCGAGGTAAAGGGACAGGAGATACAAAGGAAGATCCCAAACACAATAGTGGCAGGCAGATTTGGCAAAGATAGGAAGGCAGCCTGCCAGCCTCGTCCCTGACCCAGTTTCCAGATCTGGCAGCGGACGCCACTGACGTCCTGCTTTCTAGAAGATGGGGCCAGGCTCAGGGAGGACAGCCTGGCTGAGGCCACAAGAAGTGGCCACAGGAGCAGCGGCCAAGCCCAGTGTGGCGAGCGTAGCCCCTGATGAGAAGAGGCGGCGGCCAGCGGGCCAGGCACCCCAGGGAGCTCTCCCCGGCGGCTCCTCCCTCCCTGCTTCCCCAAGAGGCCAGAGGACCCCACGTGTGCAGAAGGAGACCCGGCGCAGAGAGGGCTGCACAGCCCAGGGCCACAGAGCCTAGACTGAAATCTAGGCCATTTTAGGCCCTGGTCTCTAGCCAGGCTTTTGTCTTTCTCCAGGATCACGGGTGGCCGTTTAGGGCCACAGAGCCTAGACTGAAATCTAGGCCATTTTAGGCCCTGGTCTCTAGCCAGGCTTTTGTCTTTCTCCAGGATCACGGGTGGGCCACCTCTGCCAGGACCCCCGACCTCCAGCCCGCTTCCCACAGCACCTCTGTGCATGTCCTCCCCTCCCTCCTTTGCCCAGGCTAGACCAGTGCCTGACACACACACACACACACACACACACACACACACACACACACACCCGTGGCTCACTCCCCGAGCCCTCAGGCTCAGTGTGGGGCCGCTGCTCCCCAGCCAGTCAGCAGCCTCTGGGGGGTGGGCACTGTCTCCATATCTCATTCTCTCCCGGGGCTGGGAGGTCTTCAAGGACTCGGCTGGGATCCCATTTACCCCCCAGATCCACAGCCTTGGCCCCAAGACGCACTGGAGAGGGCTGCGCGGCTGATAAACAACCATCTGGACCAAAGCCACCCCCAGCCCCTGTCCATCCCACGCTGGCCAGCTGGGCCCGGCCCCTCACCCGCAGGCAGCTGTACATGCAGATGGACATCCAGTTGGTGAGCATCTTCTCCACCACCGACTCGGTGCGCCGCAGCATGAGCTTGGGGTTCTTGGAGGCCGAGGCGTCGATGAGATCCACCAGCAGCTCCTTCATGATGCCCGTGTAGTACTCCAGCTTGCCGTGCAGCGCGATGGTCAGCAGGGAGGCCAAGCTGCACCTGTGGCCCCGGGCGGTCAGCACAGCTGCCCGCCGCTGGCCTTGTGCACCCCGGGAGGAATGCCAGGGCCAGGGGAGGCGTCTGTCACCTGGCTGAGGGGCTGGGACAGCCCTCTGTTCCCCCAGGGACCCCGCAGTCTGACCTGTCTCGCACTGCAAAGTCCTTCTGCTGCTCCAGCGCGTGGACGAAGATGATGAGGAAGTGCTTGTTGCTGATGAGTGAGGAGAACAGGCTGACGCCCTCCTCCATGCTGGGCCGGCGGTCCTCGGGGATCTGCCGAGGGCTGGCGTGTGAGTGTCGGGCAGGGCCGGGCCCGGCACCCCGGGTGGCTGCCCCATGCCCCCTGCTCCCCTCAGGCACAGGACTGGACGGGCAGAGGCCCGGCAGCACTCACCTTCCACTCCCCCAGCAGCGGGTGGGTCTCGGGGGTGGGGGAGCCGCCTGGGGAGCCGGGGGTCTGGGAGGGCAGCACGTAACGCTCTTCGTAAAGGGAGGAGCACTGCGGGGTGGAGCCAGCACCCCAGGGTCACTCGACATACAGAACAAGGCACCAACAGGGCTGCGCTACACAGGGCAGGCAGATGCCCCCAACACTCCCGGGAGGAGGCCCACACGGAGGAAGCAGCATGGGCCAGGGTTGCACCGCAAGAAGGCACAAGACTGAGAAGGAAACTGAGGCAGGGGATATTGTGGGGATTGCAGCTGCAGGCGTCTCTGCGTGAGTGTGGCCACACTCCCAGGAACCCCAAGGACAGAGCTGGGGAGGGACCTGGCCACCACCACAAAAGCCCACCAGGCAGGCAGACGGGGTGGGGAGGCCGGCCAGCCGCCCGCCCTCTTGGTGGGGACAGTAGGTCCCACAGAGCGTGGGGGAGGGGAGGGGTGGCTGGCTTCACTGCAGACAGGCATCAAGTGAACAGAGAAGGAAAATGGGGGGGATGGGGAGAAGCAACACCCCTCTGGAGGAGCGCAGGTTCTGCCCTGCCCCAGGGCCACCCCGTGAGGGAGATGCCGAGGGATGGGGCTGACCTTGGGGAAGAAGGTGCGGGTCACGAAGTGCCTGTACTCCAGGAAGGGGATGCCCTGGCTGCGGTTCAGCTCCTTGGTCAGGTCCGTCATGTCCGTCTGCAGCTCGGCAAAGCCTGGACAGGCAGGTGACCACCTCAAGCCCTGCTCCAGACGGGAGAGGCCAGGCACACCCACCCCGTGCCCGGCCTCCCGTACCTTTGCGGATTTCCTCTCGGATCTGAGACTCCATTTCCTCCATCTGCAGCAGCGTCTTCTGCCAGTAGCGCTCAGCGCGCCGGCTCTTGGTGCAAAAGACAAACAGGGCTGTGGGCAGCAGAGAGGCAGCTCAGACCTCCGGAACCCTCCAGAAGCCTCTGTTGAGGCCTGCTGGGCCAGGGCCTGGGCTCTGGCTCCAGAGTACGAGGTAGATAGCTGTCCTTGGCTCTCCTGCTCCGACAGGCCCGGGACACCGGACCGGCCAGCAGCACACGCCCCATGTCCCCTTAGGAAGACACATGGCGTGTAAAGTAGTGGTTAGCAGTAGTTTTCTTTTGAAACAATTAGGATGGTTTGTTTTCTTCCTGATTTCTAGCACTTTCCATTCCTCTCTCAATGGCCCTGTGTTGTCTATGGATTAAGAAACTAAAAAGTAAGCGTCATTATAATGCTGCTGTAGGACAGGGGAGGGTATCTGATCTGTATGGACAGCTAGAAAATGCGGAAAGCATGTGGGTACGGCCCTATGTTCTGCCCTGTTACTCTTCGCTAACTGCCCTACTTTTTTTTTTGCCTGTCCTGGGACTTGAATGCTAGGCCTGGTCATTGAGCTCCTTTTTGTTCAAGGCTAGCACTCTACCACTTGAGCTACAGCACCACTTCTGGCTTTTTCTGTGATTAATTGGAGATTAGAAGCCACGGACTTTCCTGCCCCAGCTGGCTTTGAACCACAATCCTCAGATCTCAGCCTCCTGAGTAGCTGAGAGCCCCAGTGCCCAGCTTGCGACTACTTTTTAAAACTCAGGATCTTCAGCTTGCTGTGCAGGAGCTCTCCCAGTAGAGCCATGCCCCCAGTCCTTTCTCCAAATTTTATCATTGGATATAGTCACTAAAAAGCAAAGCCTCAGGCAAACACCAGTGGCTCACACCTGTAATCTTACCCAGGAGGCTGAGATCTGAGGATTACAGTTTGAAGCCAACCTGGGAAGAAAAGTCTGTGAGACTCTTTATCTCCATTTAATCACCAAATTAAATAAAGCTGGAAGTGGAGCTGTGGCTCAAGTCGTAAAGGACTAGCCTTGAACACAAAAGCTCAGGGACAGTGTCCTGGCCCTGAGTTCAAGCCTCAGGTCCAATACACGTGCGCATGCATACACACACACACACACACACACACAGAGCCTTATTGGGCTACAGTGCATGTACGCTACAATTCACCATGTAGACAGCCCAGTGGATCTGACTGTAGTCATACGCTTTGAGGTCATGAGTATGTCTCACCTGACAGCACTGTTGCTATCCCAAGAAGACCCATACCCATTAAGCTCCCTCACCCAGGTACCCACTAACCTATGTCTGAATTTCCTACTCTAGCTCTTTTGTTTAAAATCAGTAAATCTGTGGTCCTTTCTGTCTGCTTCCCTCCCCCTCCCCCCCATCAGCAGGTTTTCAAGGCCCATTTATTTCTGGCGTGAGTCAATAAACCGTGCTTTTCTTTGTTTATGGCTGAATAATATTCCGCTGTCTGGATGGACCATGTTTTACTTATCCTTTTATCAGTCGATAGCCATTTGGGTTGTTCTGCCCTCTTGTCTATTATAAACAATGGCACTGTCAACATTTGTGCACAAGATTCTGTGTGGATGCATGTTTTCCTTTCTCGGGCAGATTCTCAGGAGTGGAATTTCTGGGCCATATGGCAACTCTATAATTAGCATTGTGAAGAACAGCCAAACTGTTTCCAAGCAAGCACACCTTCCTACATCACCGCCAGCGGAGCACAGGCTTGCTTTCTCTGCCATGTCTAGTATGATACTTTTGGAGCCATATTTGAACACCTAGGCTCGTTTCCGGAGTGAACTGGAGAATAAGATCCCCATCCCTGGCCTGGCATTGGGGATCCACGGCCTGGGCCCAACCCCTTCGCAACTTCCACGTCTCTGGCCCCGTGGTGCGCAGGCAACTTACCCACGACGGAGAGCAGCAGCAGGACGCTGCAGACGACGATGGAGACGATGATGGCCGTCTCGCTGCCTCCTAGCTGCAGCGTGGCGATGGTCTGGTTGAAGTTTCCCACCTGGATCTGGGCAGAGGTGGGAAGGGGCTGTGACTTTCTGGAAGGACGCTCTTCTCGCTGGCTGTGGGGCCTTGGGCACGTCACCTGACCCCTCTGGGCTTCCTCCTGAGGACCCTGAGCGCATAGCGAGGTGATGCCTGTCTACCGTCATGCCCGGGCCCGGCCCAGACACAGGCTGTGAAGATGCGCTGGCTGCGGGGGAGGCGGGCGGAGGGCAGCCCACAGGGCTCGGCTGCTGTCCTGGAGGATGCGCAGCGCTGCCCTAGGGCCAGGGCCGAGCGAGGGTGGCAGTCGGAGCTGAGGATGGTGCACACGCAGAGAAGGAAGGGAGCTTCCATTCTGGGGGGGGGGGGGCAGGCAAGGCACCATGGCCGGGGCCTCATCGGCTCATTAAGAGCCGCAGCAGCAGCTTCCATGGCTGAGGAAGCCCAGACCCTCATGGGGGTCCAGAGGGCTCCAGTCACAGACTGAACGGTAACTCAGTTCCGAGGGACTCAGTTTCCCTGTCTGTTAAATGGGGGTGTGAGGCTCTGCCGACCCAAGCCACTGAAGGAGAAGGTGCTGAGTGAGGCGCACGGGGCTGGACGAGGGCTGCCGCAGTGCACTCACCGTGATGGGCAGCTGCCCCTCGGCCGCACCCAGGGACTCGTTGACGGAGCAGTGGATCACCCTGTCCGAGACAATCTGGATGTCGCAGGCCGCCTGGCCGATCTTGACCAGGTACTCATGGCTCTCGAGCCCCAGACTGTCCTGCTCCTTCTGCAGGCATGGGGGAGAGCGTCACCAGGGCTGGCGTGGGGCCTGGCCTGCCCCCAGCCCCCAGCCGGAGCCCCTGCGCTCACGTGGATGACGAGGGTGAGAGGCTCCCCCGGGTGGTGCTTGATCCACCGCTCCCGCTTGGCGGTGGAGAACTGGGGGTTGGGGAGGTAGTCCAGCCGGAAGTGGCCGCCCCGCCGCCCCCGGGCCGGGTCTAGCAGCTCCTCTGCCAGGGCCGCCTCATCCACGTAGGCCTGCCCGTTGATGAAGAAGTCCACGGGCGCCGAGGCGTTGCTCAGGGCCCCCGGCGACGGGCAGGTGATCAGAGTGGCATTGAGGACCTTGCACAGCTGGTACGGGATGTAGGACAGACCGATGGACATGGAGAAATGGGGGAAGGGTGGGATGAGAAGGAGGGGCAGAGACAGGCAAGGTGCAGCAGGAGGCGGTTCGGTCATTCAGGGCACCGGCTGCCCCAGACCCCACCCCACCTGGGCCCCGTGGCCCTCACCGTGGGCTCGCGGCCAATGTGGTGGACAGCCATGGACACGTTCTGTACCATGTGGAAACGCTCGCCGGCTACGGTGATGGTCCTGCCGCCGCTGCGGGGACAGCAGGACCGTCAGCCCGCGCGGCCCCGGGAGCAAGACCAAGCCTGGGGGAGGGGGGCGGCTCACCTGACGGGGCTGCGGCGGGGGCTGATGGAGATGATCACGGGGTTCTGCATGTACTGGAAGGTGAGGTTGCCGAGCAGGCAGCCCCGGCGCTCCATGCGCACGCACACGGGCACGGGCGCGGGCGCGGCGCCTCCGGGCACCGTGCAGGTGATGCTGCTTTCCGTGCGCCTGCAGGGCAGTGCGTGCGTCAGCACAGCCCC